AACATCCATCTTATTTCTGTTAGCTAATTCTTCCAGATGAGCTACAGATAATATCTAGTATAATCTTGTAAAGGCTTGAAATAAAGGGGAAAACTGTTTAGTAAAACCAGAATGTCACTTTATGCCATGGAACTGTCCTTAAGGTCACTTCAGTAGTGACCCTCGCACTCTGATCCCATGTCACCTGCAGGGCCCTCCTTCATATAGCACTGGTCCTGCCCTTACGTGCCCTGCCCAACAGGGGGACAGACTGTTGGCTGGGAGCCTCCAACATGCACACTAAGGACTGCATTCTACTTACTTTACGGTACTCACTCTGGTCCTCCCAAGACTTTTAGCTTTGTAGTTGTAGCTCAACCTCATGGGACAATCCAGGTACTGATAACTTATGAGGTGAATGCAGAACTAAACTGTCGAATTCGGTCATTTAAATAGCAAAGTGTAAACTTATTTGCAATCTCACTCATCAGTATATCCACGTCTGACCCTTGATGGAGAACAAACATAAAGGTTTTCATGGCCCAGTTCCCTTAAAAAATACTTTGAAATTTCAACAGGGCAGCCACTCAGACAAATAGCTCCATCGTCGGATGGAAAATGAATGCTCCATACATAAGGTAACAGTTGTGAGTGAGAGAACTTCGATGTGCTAAAAGCTCTATTAACATAAAATCTAAAAGTTAGCCGTGGAGGAAAATGACTTTACACTTATCATTCTCTCAGTGACATCCATATTTTTAATCTCTAGATAAATCAGCTAAATAAAAATCAGAATTTTTATGAAAATAACAACATACTAGTTATAAATCTTTGGCTGTAAATTTTAAAACGGCTTTTTTTTGGTGGAAATAACTCTAATGAATTCATTTTTTTGCAATAAACAGTAACTATTAGGCCTAATGATTTTCAAAGTGACTGCTCTGGGGGTAGAATGAGGAAAATCTTTAACACAAATTAATAAATAGATCTTACAATACGATCTACTATGCATTCATTCCTCCAAGAGAGCTTGGTTCTTAGATGATGTTGAAGGAAGGCAGAAAAACGTTCAAATAACCCAGATTCACCAGGAAGTCTCTAGTATCACACCTGAGACTGGATGCAAGTGTTACTCCCATGATCGGGGGAAGGTTACAGCAGGTCCACGTGGGCACTCCGCTCAAGGCCGGGGTGAGTGCATGGGCCCAGACTTGCCGTGGGGCCAGCAGCAACCCTAAGAACATGCTTCAGGCTCAGACACCAAGTGCCTCACGGAAGGCCTGTTCCGAAATGGCTAACTTCTTCTTTTTTAGACTTAAGGTTAGAAAGATTAAAAAGATTTTCACAAACTAGTCAAGGAAAGTCTTGTCTATTTTAAGTCAAATTTGATTAGCATCACGACAGGGCTTCCCGTCTGGATCCCTGACCCCACAACTCGGCCAGGGAGGTACACTTCCCAACCTTTTCCCCATGTTTGTCACCAAAACCAGCGAAGATAAAAAAACAAAAAAACAAAAAAAAACACAAAAATATAACACTGTGAGAGATAGCCCAAGATTAGGAAGAGCTCCTAGAGACAACTGTGATAATCTTAATTTTTCTGTGGTAACAAGCATCCACGAGGCTAGAGTACATTTTCCGGACTCCAAAACAAGCCCACTTTCCATTTTGCAGGGAAGATGTGTGCAAAAAGAACTGAGGTAGACATAAAAGTCACAATCTCTTTTTTCTCTGTAGTTTCTATCAATAATAGCTTATAGCCTCAGTGTTCACCAGCCCCACGGAGTATCCATATCCAGAAATGGAGATAATTATTTTCAGGCTGACAGATTTTATTCTAACACCACCCTGCCATCTTGCAGCAGTCATTGAGAATATGAAGAAATTCGTATACGAGAAGGGAAATAATTCCAGCCCTAGAATAGGTTTGTTGACTTTCTACATGAAGGAAGAAAATAATCATCAGTAAATATCACCATCACCATTGTTGGGGAGATTCCTCCTTTCTTTGCAGAGTTAAGCTTTAAGACTGTGTATTCTCTCATCTAACAGCATCTTTGATATGCGGCTCTATGCCGATAACAAGCATAGGCCTCATGTAATAGGAAATAAATGAAGGGAAAAAAACCCAGCAACTTCATCTATACTTAAAGAAGGAATAATTTACCTGCGTAACCTATTTAATGCCGCTCTGAGCAACTCTGATCTATTCTGATTTATTATAACCCTACTTGTCTTTGACGTATTCAAGTATTTGCTTACCCACCCCTTAGCGTACACTGTATGTGTCTGAGTGGATCCGTGTATTTGCTTTTGCTTTTCCTTCCATGCCTGGAACACCACCCTAACCTTTCAATCAATGGGTTGTTATCGAGAAAACCTACTGAAAACTCCTGCTTCGTGACTACAGGTCCCCATGGAGCACATGTGTTCAACCAGTGAGCCCCAGGACTCAAACGGTGGTGAAGGGATGAGTGCGAGTGACAGTGCTGGGCCACCACAGGGCTGGGGGGCGTGTGGCCGTGGGCGCCGGAACGCACCAGCTACGGACACATGAGACATCCTCAAATACGTGGTCAGAAAAATTCAGGATTTAGACAAGCAATCCTGTAGGGATTAGCAGAAGTCTCCTGTAATTATGAAGTGCATCACAAAACCACTGCGAAAGTTTTATGAGAAGTCACGGGAAGAAACTGCGTCGTCTTGGGCAGTTTCCAGAGGAGTGGCGGTGCGTATGGGCACCGGAGGCAGGGACCCCGGCTCTCCCTGCCCCCCTCACTGCAGGAACTCAGCCAGGGTCCCCCTGCGCCTTCCCTTCTGTCACCCTCCGCTAACAAACAGGATTTCTGTGTAAATGTTCTGAAAGAAATGTACATTTTATACACATGGCTCAAGGAACCCAATTAAGAAACAAACACCAAAAGAAAACGTCGTCCATTCCAGGAATGTTCCCTCCTGGTCCTCACCTTCTCCCCAGAAAGGTCGGGCGTGTGACTTGGCCTTGGGTCGGGGGGCTGGAGGTGAAGAGAAGGATCTAGATGCCAAGGGCACAAGCTCTCCGTAGCAGACGTTTGATACAAACGGACTTTTTCTCTCAACAACAGTCCCCCAAGTAGGACTTACCACGTCAGGGTTTTGAAGGAACAGAGGCATGGGAGAGCCAAACTTCTTACAAGGCACAGCACTAGTGAGTGATACCGAGCCCGCCACATCACTCCTGTTACCTCCCTGGTTTCCTATTTCCCTTAGTTCAAAACCCTCTCCACATCTTCAAATTCTGGCCTCTCCCAACGTCCTGCGTCTCACATGGAGTCTCCTTCCTCACCCCAGCTCACCAGGACCCTGCTACCCTGGGCTGCCCAAGGCCTTCAGGGAAGGTCAGTTATCTAGGTAGGCTTGTCACCCCCCCCCGCCCGCCACCCCGAAGCTCGGACTCCCCTGACACACTCTGTCCTAAGAGTTCTTCCTTCAAGCAGATGTCCCCACGTTGGTTGCAAGTCCTATTTGTGATGGAGGGTTGCTGTGTGCCTCTCTCACGTGCCAAGCCCTGTAAGGGCCGGGGTAACGCGTGCTCTGTCTACAACTCCCTGTCTGCATGGGACCAGGGGACTGACTCGTTCCCTCTAATGTTCAGAATCTTGGGAGAACCTTAGCGGATGACTTAAACGAATGTACTGTCCAAGAACCATTGCAAAGAGACTGGCTGTAATCTAAGAAGCTAATTCTCATGACATCCATGACCAGAGAGGTTTCTAAACTCGTTTTACACACAACAAGCAACACCTAAAGGCAACAGATGAGAGAGGACCAGAGCTGACTCAAAAGCGGCCTGATCGCATTATTAGACAACTGTTTTTGTTCTTGTTTTTCCACCATCCCATGCTGGCAATCTTGACAGAACCGGACAAGAGGGTTCTATTTCCTTAATTCTGATTACTGAGGTCTTTAGAATAGTGTTAACAGCATTCACTGCCTTCCCTCCTGATGTTAAAAAGCAACACATAAGAAATACAGAAAAGCTGGCACTGTTAGGCCCATCATTTTTTCTAAACAAGTACATGTTAAAAAATGAAACTGGGGACACTTTCAGCCTACCATTTTAATATCTTCTTAGATGCTCTTAAAATATAGAAATAATATGTGTTTGTAATGGAAACAAACCATTGCAATACAGAGTTGTATAAAGAAAAAAATGCACAGGTTTCATTCACCGTCTAAACGGACCTCCTGAGATGAGGAGTATTAAGAGTTCGCTCATGGCATCTATGTGATTCTGCATGCTCAGACAAACACACATGTGGGGTGGGTTCCTTCTCCCTCTTGAAGAAAGAAACAGTCACAGCAGGCCCATTCCTCTGCAACTGCTTTTTGCATGTAATCACGCATCACAGGTCAGTACATATACATCCAGCTCATTTTTAACAGCTGCATGTTTGTCCACTATACGGACAGTCCCCTCCTGATGGGCACTAACATGATGTCCAGTTCTTGACCATTACAATAACTCACAACAAAGTATCCCTATATACCAGGACATTTATTCCATAAGAATGATGCTTTAATAGAATTGCTGAGATCAACAGTATGTGCATTTTAAAATCCCCAAGCAAGTCACTCTCCCTCCAGTAATGCATAAGATTTCTAACTTTCCAAAATATGCTCCATCACGGGTCATTTTCAACCTTTTAGGTTTCTGCCAATGGTTTAAAACTGGCATCTTATTGTTGTAAAGTACTGACAATTAGTGAGGTTAAACACCTTTGTGTATACTTACTGGTAATCTGCATTTTAAAATGCCTATTCAGATTTGTCTTTTTATTTTTTTTTTGAGAGGGAGAGGGAGAGGGTGAGGGGAGGGGCAGAGGAAGAGAGAATCTTAAGCAGGTTCCACGCTTAGCATGGAGCCCCATGTGGGGCTCCATTCCAGGACCCTGAAATTATGACCTGAACCAAAATCATGCGTCAGACATTTAACCGACTGAGCCACCCAGGTGCCCCTAGATTTGTCTTTTTAAAAAAAAAAAATCCATTTGAGAGAGGTTTTGGTAAATTAGGAATAGTGACCTTCTGTGGGAATACTAATTATATTAATCCCGGCTCTGCCTTACATGTTGCAAATATTTTCTCATAATTGATTGTGAAGCTTTGTTTACTTTTTTTCCCTTTTTGGTTCTGTCTTTTAGATCTTCGGTAACTGCTAGGTCATACAAATATTATGAAGTTTGTCTCCATCATCACTTGACTGTGTAAGAATGTAAAATAAAAATTCAATTCATATAAATATTTTTAGAACAAAGATATAATACCTTCCTTCTTAATTATTTGAATCTACTTCTTTGCCTTTCTCCTTCACACTTCAATTATTAAGTGTCTGGGGTTGATAAATAAAAGATTTGAAAACACAATTAATTGTTTATAATAGTTCTTCATCGGTCTTCTGGTCAGATTATTATTGAGATAATGAACGCCACTGTATACAGAAACTCTACTTGTTACCTTATACTTTGTTTTTAAACAGGAAGCACCAGAGTGATATCAACATATAAAGATCTCATAATAAAGGTCAGTTTTTTCACATTTCAATCCTCATTTGCTTCAGTATATTCACTCTCACAGTCCAGAGTTAGAGAATGACAAACAACATGAAAGAAACATAAGAGTGTGAAAAGTCTAATGGATGTTTGAGGTATGCATGTTTAGATAAATATCTATGTGTTACAAACAATAGAATTTATGTCCTAAAACAATAGATGATACATGACCAAAAATGCAAGTTTAGAATTTAAGATATGTTACTAGCCCCGTCTCCTGGGTCAAAGGTATCCATCCCTACACCAGCTTATACTCACAACCTTGGATCACGTCTTACCCTGCAATGTCAATTCTGTCTCTGGGGTCTAAATGATTATTTTCTCTCCTTGGGCTTTTATAATCCAGCCAAGGACAAGGGAGCTAGCTATCTTTCTTCAGTGGGGTGACTACCACCTATCCCTATTCTGCTTGGTGCAAACACAGGCAAGTTCCTTTGTGGACTGATCATTTTCTAGAGGTCATTCAGACCATAATTTCAGGGCCTCGCCACTATCCTGATGGTCCTTCTTAGGAAATTAGACCCAGTGGGAACGTTTTCTCCCTCTGCTTAGTCCATGGGTCAGCATTTTCCTTCCCTTGTAGTTCTTAATTCCCTTAAGTGGCAATTATTTAAGACACAGTTAGAGAGGGTGCAATCTTCATTCATCCAATAAAACCTAAATATTAAAAAGGACAGAAAAATTCAGCATGGCTACTAAGGATAAATGGGACAGCATTTAGCATTTGAAAGGTACCAACGAAGTGGTACATGAGTAAATGGATAAAATTAAAAAAAAAAAAAAAGATCGGAGATAAAAAAAAAAAAAGATTAAGAAGAACTAAAAGGGCATACTATGTGTCAAAGAGACAGAGCATCTTAATTATAAAAGGTTAATATCACAGCCAGAGTGAAGAAATAGGTGGAAAAACCACTCCAATAAATACTACCTAGAAATCCACCCACGGTAGCTGATACAGAAAAACTAAATTTTAGATTTTTAATGAGCATATGATAAAAATCCATTAGATTAGTACCCTGGTCCAAAATACTCTTTACGGAGATACCATATTAGTGTGAAAACATGATGCTTACGGATGAAATCACCATGTCTGTGGAAAGACATGTTAGAAAGACTATGATCACTGCATGGACGTAAGAGATGAATGTGTCCCAAGCTAAAGGTTCTAAAAGGAGCCAAATGACTAGAATGGATAAAAAAAAAACTACCGGAAAGGACTTAATTAAAATGACAACGCCCTCATGAAGCACGCAGAAGCTCCAACCATGTCACGCAGAGAATGACAGGATGCGTGAGCTGTGGATAGTGAGGAGCATAATGTGTGCAGGCCAGTAGGCAGAGTCCTGTGGAGCTCTACCACTTCTTCCCGTGGTCTCCACTTAAGAGCAGGTAAATACCTGTGAAATTTTAAGTACTGACTCAAGTCCAATTGCATTCTTAAAGTTTTAAAACTTAATCTTCACAATTTGGTCTTCAATTTAACTCATTATCTGCCTGGTATATCAGAAAGTAGCATTTTGCCAAGAAAATCCAACATGTGGTGTTTGTGAGACATGGTAGACATGAAAAACTTCTGGGTTGAAAGTGAATATTCATACATAAAACCAGACTGATTCCACTAGGACCACTTCTAAGGCTTTATTTAACTCCCACAGTTAGAAAAGGTCTCATCTCTAGCATAAATTCCTTATTCTTCAGCTCTCAAAACCATTCTGATTCTGTGAATGAACACTGACCCATCCAACACTCGAGATGACATTTGACCCAAGCATTACACGACACAACCTGGCGGCGGCATCATGGCGGCCACCCAGAAACCAGGGGCCGGCTCCATGTGCCTCGCCAGCCTCGTAACCTCATGCTCCCCCTCACCATTAAACTGGGAAGGACAGTGGTATCGTGTGGTTTGGGAAATTAAATGAGACGGTACTCTTAAACAGAGCCCACTAATTTGGCAAAGTGAGTGCTCATATGTAATCGCTATTATCACATTAATGTGGCAAATTATTTAGAATACAACGGAATGAACTCAATGCTTCTTTTTACATCTTTCCTATACACTAAAGAGTAGAAAAAACTTATCATGGAAAAGGCTTAATAAGATCAAGCCAACTAGAAAAGTATTATTACAACACACTGGCTTCTAAGGGTTCCTCGAATTCGCTATTTCCCCCTTTCCGGGGGTCTGTGTTGTTCCACGGCCTGGAACGTTCTCTCTCACTTAACTCTTACCCTCTTTCAAGACTGAGATGTAAGGCAGGAGTCTCACCTGGTGCCCTACACAGATCACTTCCCCAGATGCCTTCCCAAAGCACCTTCGACTTTATCTTTGTAGGCCTTAGATGGCAATTGGGTGTTTACTTAAGTGGTTGTTCCATTAATGTCTATTCTCCACTAAATCAATAATCCCTAGCAAGGCAAGGACCAAGCCTGTGCTGCTCACTCCTCTGTCTCTGATGTCTATAGTGCAGTGTGCTGGGCTCATCGTGGGCGGACAAAGGTCCGTATTTGTTTGGTGGTGATCTGGTAGGTCTGAACACAAAAGTAGTTACAAATTCTCAAACAAAACAAAAATTTCTAGTCACTTCAGGACTTTTAAAATGTGTTTTGCAACATACTAAGAAGCAGAAGAATGTAAATCTCATGAACTCAACAAAAGTTTACAAAACCTGCCCCACTAAAAAGGTTTAGAAATTACTGATTTAACTTCTCCGTGACAGGATTCAGAGGTCATCACCAGAGATAGTGAGAATGCTTTTCAGGAATAGTTTGGAGCTATTAGGGAAAGGTTAGACCACTTCGATTCTGAAATTGGTTGGTGCCTTCCTGATCGGATTCTACGGGATGAAGTCCTGTAACTGCAAACAGTGTATCACAGCTTTCTAGAATTCTACAGTTTGGGGTTTCATATAAGGATTCATATCAGAGACAAGACCCATGGCTGGGAAAGAGTGGAGGGAAAGAGTGGCATACTTGAGGAAATCTTACAGGAACTCCTGTTTGCTCAGGAGACAGAAATAGTGGGTAGGGAGGATGGTCATGCCCCTCACTGTGTGGAAGCGCAGGGCTAACTCAGGAGGCTCTGAGAAGAGCATGAACGTACAAAACTGGAGCATAAGCAAATATACACACACAGATCAAATGCCCGCATAAATAAGCAGGCTATACTTGGGGCCTAACTCAAAACCTTTAGGCCAAGCACATTCAATTTTATCTGAATTATTATAATAAACTATTGTTTCATATATGCTGAGTGAAAATGATTATATACATATTAATGTAATATGTGAATATCTAGACATCTTAATGCCCAGAAGATGAACATACCCAAATTGATTCTGCCATAAATAATAAAAATACACAGCCTTGGATTTCAAATGTCTTTTTCAATGTAAAAAAGACATTAAAAATTTGGTATGTTCAAACTGAACATAAAACATCTTAAAAATGTCTTTCTAACACAATTTCTTAGACACAGATAGAGAAATTGGGGTAAAAAAGAAAATATATTAAGTACTATAACAGAATCATATCTAAAACCAAAATTACTTCTTTGACTGGTAAAAGATTCATGACCCAAAAGCATACATCACGGGAAACTTTTCCTCATTATGTACAGGGGGAGAGGCCAGAAATATGGACAAAGATGATATATTAGAATAACATTAAAGTAAAACAAAAGAAACCCACAGTGTTATTCAGCCACATTTAAAGGGCCATCCTGTTTTTCTCTCGGTTCTTCAGCATTTTACTGCACATTCTTTGCAATCCAACTTTCAGCTAAATCCCCTCAAAACCCCTTTTGGACCCTAAGGCCACTTCACCTGCTTGGCGTCCAGCCTGTCTCGCTTCTCACCTCTTACTCCCCAATTCTTACACAGCCAAGTGCTCGTCCACTTGCCTTCCCACGACTCAGGTCGAACAGCTTTGCATACCCTAACTCCATTTGCAGAGGGTCTAGCGCCTTTCCGTCCATATAGCAAACACGGTCCGCGACACTCACTTCCATAGAAAGAGCGCTTATAGGATATGAACTAACATTGCAATTACACGTGCACAAGAGGGACTACATCTGGCCCCACTTCTATCTGGTCCGCCTGAATATCAGGGTTCATCTAACAAAGCTGAATCCTATCGATGGGTTATCTGTAAAACACCAAGGAGTACCACATTTCAGTGTTGACTAGTCAAGAGATTCAATAACTGTTTAGTTGCCAACATAAAGAGGTTTAAAATATGATACTTAACTGCCTGGTAAGTGAGAAAGGTCATGAGACTGGTACTTTTTTAAAAAATAAAAACTTAGGTGAAACCAGCTGTAGTATTTACCAAACAGTACTCTGAAATTTCAAGAGAACTATCTGGGCATTTTCACATCTTTGTCATTTTATATTAAGAAAGTCGTTAAAGTAAACAGTGTATTTCTGTTTCTAATCATGAGACGAAGGTATATAAACACGAATATATAAGTTATGCCATCAATCCAGGCCACGTATTAATATAAAATATAACCTGGAATATCCACTCCTGTCACTCAAGAGCAGCACCTACTGGCACAATTTAAAAGAACCCAGAAGACACAGAGTAATTTCAGTTCAATATTTTATTAATTAAATACTTATAGAGCACTTAATATATGCCAGGCACTATTTTAAGTACTTTACAAATATTAACTTATTTAATCACTGCAAGACATTTATCACTAAAAGAGATTTAATGACATAAACCTTACTCCAAGATTCAAGGATCTACTTCGTTAGTTTGAGATGCAGATTCAGTTTAAAGCCAACAGAATCCAAATTTGTCCCTGGCCAACATCTGCAAAGAAACCAGTATTATAGCCCATTCTAATTTCATGAACCAGATAACAAATGTGAAGGAAATGCTGAAAGGCAGTTCCCTAAAAAGAGTTCTCTCCCAAAAAAAGAATATAAAATTCTACAGTCCATGCAACGTGAATAATCTATGCTAACTACAAAGGAGTCTTGCCTCTTCCTTTATAAACAGGAAATCACTTGCGTGAGGTTTTTATTTTAAGCATGCATTAAAATTATGATTTTTCGTAAGATGAACAAATGACTCTGTGCCAATCACACTGACATGCTACTCAACAAATGGCACTAAGAGCGGTGACGAGAGTGAACCTGTCTGAGCGGAGCTTTTTAAAAAGTATCTAGACCAGCCATCAAAACTATGATTTTATCTGGTCGGGGCCTACGCTACCGTCTGCTGCAATAAAAGCTATTAGGTGATTTAAGTGACTACTTTACTATGATGGGTTTTCATCTATTAAAAGAATGTATTTAAGTATTTTTAATCTTAGTTAGAAATAGGAAAAAAAGGAAAAATAAAAAAGTGTAAGCATGTCTATATAAGCTAAAATATTTTGCTTCTACATATTTTTCCTGAATAAATTAACTTTGCAAATTGACTCAATTGATCTATACATTTCCGATGCTGATTAACATGTATCATATGATATCTTTTTGGTCTATTTAATTTTAGAGTCTCAAGCCAATTAGTATAATTTCTGTATTAACTTCCCCATTTTCATTTTCCCATCCCAATCAACTCCCTTCCCTAATCACCCCGCACCAACAGAGATACCTATTTAATATTTTCTGCTATGCATCCATGCAGGAAATAGAGAAGAAATAAGTATAATTTTTTTGTATTTGTAATTTAAAAAATTTTAATTTGTGGTAAAACACACATAAAGTAAAATTTACCATCTTAACAACCTTTAAGCATACAGTTCGGTGGTTAGGTGCCAAGTTATTCCCACTGTTGTATAATCAATCTCAGACTTTTTCATCTTGCAAAAGAGGAAGTGTACCTGCCAAACAACTCCCATGTCCCCTCTCCCCAGCCTCTGGCAACCATCATTCTAGTTTCTGTCCCTATGAATCTGACTACTCCAGGGACCTCATATTCATGTATGTGGAATCGTACAGTATATTTCTCTTGTGTCTGCCTTATTTCACTCAGCATAATATCCTCAAGGTTCATCTATGTTGTGGCATGTGTTGGAATTTCCTTCTTTTAAGGCTGAATAATACTCCAATGTATGTATTATATAATTATATACATATTATACATAATGTAATTTATAATGATATATAATTATATTTATAATTACATAATATAATTTACAGAATATATATTATATATTCTCTTTATCCATTCATTTGTTGACGGGCATTTGGGCTGTTTCTTTTCGCTACTGTAAATGTTGCTATGAGTGTGATCTGCTTTCATTTCTTTTGTGCGTATACTCAGAAGTGGGAATGTTAGATCATTTGGTAGTTCTGTTTTTAATTTTTTTAGGAACCACCATACTGTTTCCATAGCAGCTATACTATCTTAAATTCCCAACAGTGCACAAAGGTTTCAAATTCTCTACACCCTTGCCAACACTATTTTATTTTGTTTTTTTGATACTAGATATTCTAGTGGGTGTGAGATAGTAAGAGTAAATTTTTAAAGTGACTTCTTAGCTAGTAAGAAAAATATGGTGAACTCCTGTAGGATTTTGACGGTTTTCTTTTTCACATTTAGGTCTTTCATCTATTTTGAATTTATTTTTGTGTATGGTTTAAGAAAGTGGTCCAGTTTCATTCTTTTGCAGAGAGCTGTCCATTTTTCCCAACATTGTTTGTTGAAGAGGCAGTCTTTTTTTTCCATTAGATATTCTATCCTGCTTTTATATTTTCCATATAGTTGAGGATCCACTTCTGGGTTCTCTATTCTGTTCCACTGATCTGTGTGTCTGTTTTTATGCCAGTACCATACTGTCTTGATTACTGCAGCTTTGTCATATAACTTGAAGTCTGGAATTGTGATGCCTTCAGCTTAGCTTTGCCTTTTCAAGATGGCTTTGGCTATTTAGGGTCTTTTGTGGTTCCACATAAATTTTAGGATTGTTTGTTCTAGCTCTGTGAAAAATGCTGGTGGTATTTTGGTAGGGATTGCATTAAATGTGTAGATTGCCTTGGGAAGTATAGACATTTTAACAATATCTGTTCTTCCCATCCATAAGTATGGAATGTTTTTCCATTCTTTGTGTCATCTTCAATTTCTTTCATAAGTGTTCTATAGTTTTCAGAGTACTGATCCTTACCTCTTTGGTTAGGTTTATTCCTAGTATCTTATGGGTTTTGGTGCAATTATAAATGGAAAAGATGCAACCTCTTTGGCATTGGCCCTAGGACCTTCTTACTAGATATGACTCCAGAGGCAAAGGAAACAAAAGCAAAAATGAACTACTGGGACTTCATCAAGATAAAAAGCTTCTGCAGATTGAAGGAAACAATCAACAAAACTAAAATGAAACCTTTGAAGGGGAATAGATATTTGCAAATGACATATCTGATAAATGGTTATTAGTTAAAATCTACAAAGAATTTATCAAACTCAACACCCCAAAACACAAATAATGCAGTTAAGAAATAGGCAGAAAACATGTACAGACATTTTTCCAAAGAAGACATACAGATGGCCAACAGACATGTGAAAAGATGCTCAACATCACTCATCATTGGGGAAATACAAATCAAAACTACAATGTGATATCACCTTACACCTGTCAGAATGGCTAAAATTAACATAGGAAACAACAAACATTGATGAGGATGCAGAGAAAGGAGAAACTTCCCAGCCTGTTGGTGGAAATGCAAACTCGTGCAGCCGCTCTGGAAAACAGTATGGAGGTTCCTCAAAAATTAAAAATAGAACTACCCTATGGCCCAGCAAGTGCATAACTAGGTATTTACCCAAAGGATACAAAAATACTGATTCAAAGGGATACATGCACCCTGATGTTTACAGCAGCATTATCAACAATAGCCACATTGTGAAAAGAGCCCAAATGTCTATCAACTGAAGAATGGGTAAAGAAGATGTAGGGTACACACACACAAGGGAATATTACCCGGCCATCAAAAAGAATGAAATCTTGCCATTTGCAATGACGTGGATGGAGCTAGAGTATATTATACTAAGAGAAATAAGTCAGAGAAAGACAAATACCATATGATTCCACTTGTGTACGGAATTTAAGAAACAAAACAGATGAACATAGGGGGAAAAAAGAGAGACAGGCAGATCATAAAATAGACTCTTAACTATAGAGTATAAGCTGTGGGGTGCTGGAGGGGAGGTGGGCGGGTGTGGGGGGCTAGATGGATGATGGGCATTAAAGAGGGCACTTGTGATGAGCACTGGGTATTGTATGTAAGGGATGAATCACTAATTCCTACACCTGAAACTAATATTACACTATATGTTAACAACTGGAATTTAAATAAAAACTTGAAACAAAAAAAGGAAAAAAAGATAAATCTGGTGAACACAGAATACTAAATTATTGAGTACTGCTTATTATGATGGTAAAACTAACCAGAAAAGAATCATATTGTAAGCAAAAAGTGAAAGGCTTTTCTTACTCAATAATATAAAGGATTAAGGAACAATAATTTCACTGGGTACTATATTCTGAATGTAAACATGTATATCTCACTTTATTTGTTCATAAGGTTTTTTTGAATGATTATAACAAACAGGCACAGTAATCTACCCTAAGTCATAAAGTCATTCAGGAGGAGGAAAAGACTGGGACACATCAGACAGACAGTCAAGGAATTGATGTTAGATCATAGAGAAATGAAGAGCAGGGGTATGTGAAATGAAGGGGAATATATATATTTATATATATTTATAAACATTATAAATATATTATATTTATATATATCTAATTATGGGAATTTTAGGATAAAATTTAAGACACATGCATGCTTAATTTTAGAAACTGATATGGTGGTAGAGAGGAAAGAAATGGACTCAAAGAAATACTGTGAACTGATTTTCAACAAAAGCGAAAGGCATAGGGTTTTCAACAAATGTTGCTCAAAAAAAAAAAAAAAAAAAAGACACTTATATGCAAAAAAAAAACCAAACCAAAACAAAACCCTCAACCTGTACCTAATGTTATCCAAAATTTGACTCAAAATAGATCATAGATATAAATATATGCAAAATAAATGCAAAAACATAAAGCTTCCAGAAGAAAATATGAGTTTATCTTTGTAACTTGGGTTAGGCAAACAGTTTTTAGATACCATATCAAAAGTACAAACCATACGGAAAACCATCACTAAACTGGACTTCATGAATACGGTAGTCCCCTATTATTCATGAGACACATGTTCCAAGAACCCTAGTGGATGCCCAAAACCACAGATAGTACCGAACACCATACATACTATTTTGTATTGCCATACCTACATGCATATATACCTATGATACATCTTAATTTGTAAATTGGGCACAGTAAGAGATTAACAACAAGTAATAATAAAATAGAATATACTGTTAATAAAAGTTATGTGAATGGGGTTTCTCTCTCTTTCAAAATATCTTATTGTACCATACTCACCCTTCTCTCCTTGAGATGATGTGAGATGATAAAATGCGCACATGATGAGTGATGGGGCATCATGAGGCAGTGCTAGGCTATGAATGACCTTCTGATGAGGCATCAGAAGGAGGATCTGCTTACAGATCAAGGCTGACCGTGGCTGACTGGAACCACGGGAAGCAAAACTATGGATATGGGGGGGCAGGGCTACTTCATTAAAAACGTTTTCGCTGGGGTGCCTGGGTGACTCAATTGGTTAAGCATCTGCCTTCGGCTCAGGTGAGGATCTGAGGGTCCTGGGATGGAGCCCTGAGTCAGGCTCCCTGCTCGGCGGGGAGCCTGCTTCTCTCTCCCTCTGCCTGCCACTCTGCCTACTTGTGCTATCTCTCTGTCAGATAAATAAATAAAATCTTAAAAAAAAAATGTTTTCTATTGTGAAAGACACTGTTAAGAGGAAAAAAAAGGCAAGTCACAACCTGAGAGAAAATATTTGAAAATCATCTATCTGATAAAGGCCTTGTATCAAAATCACATTAAAAACTCCTAGAACTCAGGGCGCCTGGGTGGCTCAGTTGGTTAAGCGACTGCTTTCAGCTCGGGTCATGATCCTGGAGTCCCGGGATCGAGTCCCGCATCGGGCTCCCTGCTTGGCGGGGAGTCTGCTTCTCCCTCTGACCCTCCCCCCTCTCATGCTCTCTGTCTCTCATTCTCTCTCTCAAATAAATAAATAAATCTTTAAAAAAAAAAAAAAAAAACTCCTAGAACTCAGTGCCCAACGAGAAAAGGGGCAAACTATTTCAAAAGACATTTCATCGAAGAAAATAAACAGATGGCAAACCAGCACTGACAATCAATATCAGTAGTGATCAAATACAAATTAAAACCACTAAAGACCACTAAACTCCTATTAGAATGACTTAGAAAACCCGACAATCCTAAGTGCTAGTGAGGATGCAGAGCGACTAGAATCTCATACACTGCTGGTAGAAACATCAGACGTACAGACTCTCTGGCAAACAGACTGACAGTTGTCTTTACAAGTTAAATATATACATACTGTATTGTCCAGGCATCTCATTTCCAGGTATTTACCTAAGATCGATGAAACCTTACACTCACGCAGAAACCTATATGTGAATGTTAACAGCAGCTGTTTATTTAATTACCAAGAGAGTAAACAACCTGGATGACAGATGTCCTTGTGGTCCTGATCTGCATTTCCCTGACAATGATGTTGAACATCTTTTCATGTGTTTACTGGCCATTTATGTATCCTCTTTGGAAAATGGCCATTCAGATCCTTTGCCTGTTTTTAAATTAGGTTATTTGCCTTGATACTGATGAGTTCAAGAGTTCTTTATATATTCTAGATAGAAGCCCCTTATCAGATAGATATGCCTCATTTTTTTTCAATTTTATAGGTTTTCCTTTCATCTTCTTGATGATGTCATTTGAGCCACAAAAGTTTTTAATTTTGATAAAGTCCAATTTATTTTCTTTCTTTTATTGCCTGTTCTTTCGGTGTCATATCCAAAAACCTATTGCCTAATCGAAGGTCACAAAGATCTGTTAGTATCTTTTCTTCTAGGGGTGTTATAGTTTTAGTTCTCGTATTTAGGTCTAAGATAATTTATGTTTGTTTGTTTGTTTGTTTGTTTTAAAGATTTTATTTATTTATTTGACAGAGAGAGACACAGTGAGAGAGGGAACACAAGCAGGGGAAGTGGGAGAGGGAGAAGTAGGCTCCCCGCAGAGCAGGGAGCCTGATGTGGGGCTTGATTCCAGGACCCTGGGACCATGACCTGAGCTGAAGGCAGACGCTTAAGGACTGAGCCACCCAGGTGCCCCAATAATTTATGTTTTAGATGGATTGATAAACTGTGTATTTATGGAAAAGCAGGGGTTAGCATGCACGCATACATTTCCTACTTCTGTCTGCTGAGAAAGCCCACAAGCCAAGGGTGCACAGAAGCAATGAGTATACACAGTGTGCATATCTTGGTTTCTAAACACCCTTCTCCAGTAAAAGAAACCAAAGATGCTTAAAGAAGACAGTGATTTCAGGATCAGGGCAGGCAAACCACCAGATAGAGGAGCCTGGAGGACACTGTGGTGCGAGAAAGTAAAGAGATGGTCATAAAAGGATGGGGGCACCCCAAAGGACACGGAAGCTTGTCAGAAGGAGCTCACAATGGCCAACGCTGGAGCAATTTGACTAAGAAATAAAAATGATATTGAATTGTAAACCACAGAGTACAATAAACCCATAATGGTAAAAATAAATTGAATAAAAAAATAATTGGGAGTGAAGGGGCAGATATTCCTTAAAGAAGAATTCCAATTAAATACAGAAGGAACAGGGGAAGAGAGTATTACTGCTAAAACTCCATAGATCCTGTTGTAGGCAAGATCCACTAATGAATGTCAAAATTAGTGGGCAAATGTTTGAGAAGAAACAGGCTATTTGCATAATCTGGAAGTATCTCCCCACAGATGTGTATTAATTAAAAAGGAGAAAATAGTAGGTCTGTAGTGGAGAAATATGAAGATACCACCTCACTCAACGGGTCCAGTTTACATTGTCTGCCATAACATACCCTGACGTGTTGCTCGTCTCTCTGGGAGATGCTTAAAGAACCTTAACTGAATCATGAGTAAACGTGAGACTACTGGAAAACAAGGAACATTCTACAGAATAACTGATCCCTATTCGTTAGAAGCATCAAGGTTGTGAGAGACAAGGAAAGACTGAAGAGACACAAGAACCAGAGGGCACGTCAGTCCCTGAGCTGAGCTCTGAAAAAAGAAAAACGACAGGAAGGAGACCTGGTGAGATGTGAAGGAAGGATGTGGCTTAGCAGATGGTCTTTGGTTTCGGTAATCCTGTCACAGTTATATCTGACACTCACATTCAGGGAAGCTGGGCAAAGGATATTTGGGAACTCTGCACTATTTTTGCAACTTTTCTGTAAGCTTAAAATTATTTCAAAATAAAAACTCAAAACAAGGAAAACCTGCTAGATGGTATCTTTGCTCAATAAAAACAGAAATAAATACATTTGCAAATGATTGATAATATACATTTTATATCTTCTGAACTAAATTTCAATACTAATTAAATAGTATTCCTAAACTTCCCTCATAATTTGAAGAACCTGTTCCATTCTTCTTCCATAAAGGGTTTCAAAGGAAACAGTAACTGTTTTGCCCTATCAGGGGTGAGACCTGCCAACGCCTACCATGTTTCTCTCATATCATATTAGTCAGGGTCAAGATATGAATGTGAGGGTGTGTAAATTTTTAAAATACATAAATTATATTGAATTAAACAGTTGATAAAAGGTCTATATAAAAATAAAAGCCACGTCGGGCGCCTGGGTGGCTCAGTTGGTTAAGCGACTGCCTTCGGCTCAGGTCATGATCCTGGAGTCCCGGGATCGAGTCCTGCATCGGGCTCCCTGCTCGGCAGGGAGTCTGCTTCTCCCTCTGCCCTCTTCCCTCTCGTGCTCTCTGTCTCTCATTCTCTCGCTCGCAAATAAATAAAATCTTAAAATAAATAAATAAATAAATAAAAGCCACATCAATTACCTGATAAAATCATACTGCACACACTATAACTTTCCACAATTTTTTCCCCTTAAAATTTTGATAAATGAAGTTGTCAGGGGGGATAAGATCACAATTTTGTTTTCTTTTTTTTTCTCTTTAACTATTTTAACTTTCAGAATTCAGTTCATGAACGCTGTGAATGTTAGCCTAGATAAGATCATAATTTTGCTTGGCGATGAGGTAAGCGTACTGCCATGTGCCTGGATAACCTCGTGGCAGCAAGGAAAGAAGCCGCAAAGGAAGTTTTAATGTGGCTCTGAATTACACAGGCTAATTATACTTAGCTAGGCCTCCCAAGAAAGAAGAGGATGGAGTTTTTTTCTGGAAGAAAAAAAATTAAACCTCACTTTAAAACTTCTAAGATCATACAGCTAGGGAATGAGCCTGAGTGCTCTGAGGGCCGGAGATCCATCAAAAATGATTAATTGAATGGATTTACATGAATTTCAGATGATCTTCAGTCAACTGTATGAGGTGTTACTATCAAAAGCTATATTTTAATTGTGGATTCTGATTTTATTTTAAATGTTGTGACTGCCATTACGGATTTTATAGGACATTGAAATATACACTAGAAAGGATGTTATTTTCAGCATCATATTCATTTATAAAAACATTTTAAAAAATATAAAGTATACTAAATAACAAAGAATAGAAATTATTCAATAAATAAAGTGATGTTTCTACTCTGAAGAAAAGCTGTATGAAGACCTTCTCTAGCCCTGGCTTCAGCTACACGCTCGGACTGTCATGCTGATATATGGATACCCACTAACACATATATGGTTATAAGATTCATTACTCTTAGGAGCAAATTCAAATAAATGCAAAGAAATCACTTCAGTCTTTTCCTTCTAACTTCCTACCGTTAAAAGGGCAATAACGAAGCCCGCTATCTTCCTCTTTTAAAGAAAATCTCTGCATTATTTAAACTAATGTTCAACAGAAAGGCTAAGCAGGGTTACGCGCCTTGAGGTAGAGGACACAGACGCAGAGTGGCTGAGTGACTTGCTTAAAGTCGCACATCTCCACAGCCATGGAGTCAGGACACTAAGACCCAGTTCACCCGCCTGACACCCACGCCATCCGCCAGGCTCTGTACTAGGTGGCAGAAGTACAACGTGAAAACATTTACCCTGGTGGCTCTTTTTATTTAGTATACGTTACTTCCTAGCTCATGTTTTCAGATGATCTGAAGTCTTAAAACTCCAAAATGTTAGGGCTTCATGACAACAATTTCATTAACCCACAGAGGCTGATTCTGTTTTTAGCTCCTGTGCATGCAGCATGACGTAACCGGGAAACTCCTGGACGGCAAACGGGCGTGGATTGCAGCGGGCTGCCCTGCAGTGACATGGCCTCGGTGGGCAAGTCAGCCTTTTGAAGACGCATTTTTTTAAAGAAGCATTAAGTTGGGAGTAACACCTACCAACGAGCTTTGTCTTGAAGGAATGGCCTGGTGACAAGTTTGGCACAGACACTCTTGCTACCCTTCCTCTTTGTTTCTCTGTAACTGAGGTCACAATGCAACTGGGCAGAGTAACAGCACCGACCACCTAAAGCAGGAAGCCGTGCCACACACACCGCACTCCCCAACAAGCAGGACTGCCCGATGGCAGGAGGGCCGTGGGAAGCAGGTGGCAGAAGCGTGGACCACACAGATGGAAAGAAGCATGTATGTCCTTAGCCCTGCTCCACGGTGATAAGCAGGAAAAAGACATTTTTGGACATACCAAATAGAAGTTAGAACATTTCTCCCTAAGCAGATTGAATTAAAAATATTTTAAAATGTATACTTAGAAGGTTTTGAAAAAACGTATTTCAGTATATTATTTAATAAAAGAGAAACAGGGATGAGTCGAGAGGATCTGCTTCTCAGTAATGCTGCATTTACTGATAAGCATCCAGCAAATGAACTGGTCCTGGATTGCAAGTCTATGACCAGAAAAAGCTGGTCGATGAGAACCCCTGCTTTGGCATTATTCCCCCACTGGCTATACAGTACATGGGGTAGTTAGTCCTAAACCTAGGAAATCCAACAGGACTGAGAGAGGGAGAGAGAGCAAAGAGAAAAGCCAGTCACTCGAACCTGCCACGCCGGGATGGACACGGAGCACGGTGCCGGACAGAAGGCACCAGAGTATGCAGAGAGGAGTTAGACGGGAACAAAGACATTCAGTAGCAGTTAAGACAAACAGTAAATTAACCCATGGGTGATGTCTGAGGGTAAAGAATCGAATTGTTGAACTGTTAATTATTTTAGGAAGTCTTTTGTCGGTGGTGAAATACCAGGAGCCTGGAAAACAAGGAATCCAGTCTGAAGGTTACAAAGAGAGAGAGTAGAGGTTGAAAATTATAGAGCTGCTAGTCTAACATCTATATTAGGAAATAAATTTGAGATGATACTTATGGATGAGCTTAATGATACATTTGGAGAAGTACAATTTAATAGGAGTGAGTCAGCATGGATTTACCAAAGGCAATCATGTCAGAAAAAATTTCGTTCCTTTTTAGGTTGAAGTGATAATTGGTTTATGTAAGGAGAACCAATGAGACACTGTCAGGATTTTCTGAGATTTTGGGACCTCTTCATAAAATGAATTATTGTACAAAATGTCATGACATGTGTCAGAGCACCAACTAACAAAAGGGGCTGAAAGTAACGGGGTTAAAAATAGAAGGCCCCACAATCTGGGGAAAACTACATTCTACAGGGCTCTGTAGATCAGAGCGCTAATGTTTTTAATTAATGATGAAGAAAATCTTTTATATGAGGAAATTTGAATATTCTGCTGAATGAGAGGGAATGGTTAAGATACAAAAGGCTACAGCTGTTTTATCTTAACTGTGATAGATGAAGCAAAGGGGCTCCACGGTGGAATATGGAATTCAATCTGCCTGAATATGCAGCGATGTGCTTGCAGAGAATTAAGGAATCAGTTAAGTGTAGTTACAGTTTAAATGGTACTGGATTAGATAGCACTGGAAAGAAAATGGATGCAGAGTTTTGGTAAGAATCAAACTTTCACATTCTTACTCTTATACCTGGGTAAGAGGAAAACGCTATGGAGTGCAATTAAATAATACATGTTTTAAAGAATTAGAAAAATGATTATCTTATGGAACAATACAAAATCCCACTTTGTGAAGAGACTATATCACACCGTACAGGTAACCTAATGTGCATTTTTAAATGTTTAAGTCTTAATATATAAGAACTGACGAAAATCATATCAATTTAAATATGGTTTTTTTTAAACCCTACCACAGTAGAAAATGAAGGAATTAGAGAAAATATCATGTCATCACTTAATGCTTAATTTCTCCTAAACAGAGAACATCACTTGATCATCACCTTTAGAAAACACAGACACATTTCCAACACTGCAGTCCCAGCTTCTCAGAGGAAAGGCAAAGGAACTAAATGGACGTCACAGTCACGGCACAGGGAGTGGCCCGGCCGCCCGGTCCCGCGTGGGCACGCACCAGCAGCAGCCAGCGCCACGTCAGAAGCAAGCATGTTCTCTGACCTGGTGTGGACCTGGAATTCACGAAGGAAAACCATCTCCGTTTCCTTCTTTGGCACAATCACTAGAACCATACATGCTCCCCTCAACCTTCTCCGCAGCCTTCTTGGTCTTCATCCTCCCCTCTTTCAGGTGCTGTTCATAACCAACTCCCAAGACTGACTGAAGGTCACTGGTATTGCAAACACGGAGTGTATTTCATTCCCGCTCAGGGTGCAGCGAATGAACGCCAAGCTAATTCTTCGGTAACAGAGATGGCAGACAAGCAACTGCTAATATAAAGGTCAAATAAAGATCATTCGTGGGGTGAAATGGATTTCACTAAATAGAAAAAAAATTATAATGTACAATGACAGAATTCTGGCAACTTTTAATTTGATGTCAATTTTGTGGGGATTAATAGGATTATAAAATTTCATCATATTCGATCTAGAGTGGACCTAAATGAATCTCTCTAGACATACAGGAAGCAAATAAATAATGTTTTTTTTTAAAAAAAGCATGTATAGAAAAGCTTTAGTTCATCCAACTCTATGACTGAAATTTATCTATAGTTTCTTTTTTGTGGTTGGTTTATCCTCACTACTGCAGAGCATCCCCCTCGGTGAACACATAGCCTTTCATACAATCTCCTTGATGGACATTTGGGTAGTTTCAGTTTTTGACCACGATGAAAGTATCGATATATTTATATAAAGTATAAATACAAAGTAAAAGACTATTTCATGTAAAAGATTGAAATTGTCACAGATTAAAAAAACAAATGCAGCTTATAAAGAAGCTGATGAAGCTACACCAATATGAAACACGGAATGATGGCAAGAAGCCTTACTACAGACAAAAAGGAACATTTCATAACTATAAGGATAGATGGGTATGTATATAAAATAATCTTAAAGTTCAGAGTAGCCAGGGATAGATCTTTAAAATATGTAAAGCCAAAAGTAAGAGAATTAAAAAAACCAAAAAAAAAAAAAAACAAATCCACAATCATAGTGGGCAACTTTACTACACTCCTCTTCACAGCTGATAGAGGTAGATAAAAAACATGTAAGAATATAGACAATCTGAACAGCACAGTGAAAAAAAAAACTCCGTGTAAGTGATATGTACGGAACACAGAATACACACCAAACAGCACCATTATTTACGTTCCTTTCTAGTATATCTGAAACATTTACCAAAACTAACCAAATGCTGGTCATGAAGAAAGCATAAACAAATTTCAAAGGACTGAAATAATTCAGTATCATGTCCTATAAGCACAGTAGACAGAAGCTAGAAATCATTTTATATTACCATTTCAATAGTTAACAAAAAGGTAACTAGAAAAATCCCCGAATGCCTGGAAATCAACAAATACATTTCTAAATAATCAACTTTCATTTTAAAAATAACCACTTTTATCTGTTTTTCCAACAAAGCTATAACAAAAATTAGAGCTCACATAGAACCTTTAATTCTCTGGAGTATGAAATGAGAAATGATGCCAAAATCATTCTTTTAGTTCCCGGAAATCACTGAGAGGCAAGACCATGAATTACCCACAGAAGTGATGGAGACGGAGAACAATGGGCAACCATGGATGCTCCGTATGGCCACGAGTAACTGTGCACAGAGCACATTACCTGGTACTGATGGTGGACAACACTGTCCTAACAGCCCTTACTGTCCCCACCGTGCAGAGGGGACACGAGACCCACAGAGTTAAAACAACAGTTCCGGAGTCATTCAACAAGGCAATGGGGCTGACATTCAAATCTATCCTACCCTGAAGGCCACGCCTACATGCCTACAGAAGCACAGAATGCTCCTGACTGCGCGCACGAGGATGGGAAGCTCTGAGCTGCACAGAGGTCTGCGACCTTCACAGTGTGGAGCACCAGGATGTGACCTGGTCTCTGGGGAACTCTGGCCCAAGTACATTACCTCCATGACTGCAGGTACATCTTCACGTACCCAACCCGGGGAAGCACACAATCACAGCAAAACCTCTATCTGCGGAGCTGTTTTCCAACAAAAAACAAGATACCTTGCTTTAACATATAAATTTCCAGAAATCATCTCAATTAAAATTGAAAATATCCCGAATGGCACTTTTCTGTGGCTGCTGGTTAATGTGTCCCTTCTAGTGGTCTTTTGCATGTTTGATATACATGGTAGAGCCACATGAGGACTGGAGTGATTTAGTTTGTCTGTTCTGGGGTAGTTTTGAACTCAACCTTTTATTAAAAGAACTGCAAAATGTGCTTCATTGAATGCTGGGCTATAAGATGCTCAGCACATGAGCAGTGCGGACACCACAGAACACAGCTGATGGCGCCTTTCTGGGCCAGGAGCCACTCTTGCAGAACCTGGATGCTGCTGCAGGCCCGCCCCAGTCCCTACTGCCCGGCATGGGTTCATCAACTGTGCCCTCATTCCACCACCAAACAACACGGAATGAAGAACAGCAACAGCTTGATCCAGTATCTTACTGTATATTGAGGAAGGCTCCTTTCCCATAGCCCCCAATGTACTGCAGATGATTTACAATTACACGTTTAAAAAGCCAGTCATAGCCTAAAAAATGTTACCCTTTTAAAGTTTTCTCTTAACTGAGCTAAGTTTACCAAAGCAAAAATATTACCAAAGAGCACCACTGCCATGCCCGGGGAGAAGCTGACACCGCCATCCCACGTGTACCACCTGGGTTTGGTGTGTGAGGAATGCTAGCTACAGAGACTTCCGCAGAAAATAGTTTCAAACAGAATGATAAACATAAACCGAAAACCAGGACTCTATGCACATGAGCATTACACATATACACAAAGAAACTAGAATAATTTTTCTTAAAACTTGTTTTATACTAATACTATCCCAAAACATCTCTCCAGGGCCACTCAGCATCGCTAGTGCAGACGGTATGAGCCAAGCGGTCTGTCCTTCTGCGCAGAGCGACAAAAGGAATGTGTGTCTATGCTCTGCGATTAGTTTCCTCCTCCTTCCCTCGGCGTTCATCTCAAAGTTACAAATCCTTTATTTTAGGGAAATAACCCATCTGTAATATCCAGTTGGTGCAACGGACAGGCAGAAGACACCGACACAGAAGGCACCTTAAGAAGGAGGTGCAGCAGGACTCTCTGGAAAACGGCACTTTCCTGATGACCCAGCATCAATTTAGATCATTTTGCTTGGCGGCTACTTGAAGTGCCTCCTTCCACAGGCAGTATGGCCTCTGTATGGTCACGATTCATCTTAAGGAATAATCCATAGGAACTGACGGCCAGAAGATATCTCAATGTGACTTTACCTGTTCTTGCGCCTAAAGCTATAAACTGTCCAATTCAAAGCATTTCGGTAACAACCTCACCAACACATAAGGAATACCGACCTGTGTTTTTGTTTTTCAAAAACAGCCCTGGATACAACACAGATGACAAGTACAGACATTCCACCATTGCTTAAAAAGCCAGTCATATGAGCATAAACAGAAATTTGAAAGGACACATCAGCATAAACCAAGTAATAACCTTATATGCAGACATTGTCAAATGTATTAATAACTAATAGTTAATATCTTTCTAAATCAAATCATTCACTAAGTTCCGTTTCTTTTAATGTAAATGTTATCTGAGCAAACATTACTTACGCATTTTGCAATGGGTAGGGTTTCCCATAACATTTGCATTTTGGGTGGGGGTTCCCATGACTTTCAAACACTGTGGGCACACGTCCAGCATCACCACCATGACCCCCAGCCCTTCTGCATCGCTCCTGCTAGGCAGGCATAAAAAGTATTGCGCTTGGCCATTGGCTTTTTCACTGCTCACAAGGACCCCTCAAACAGATACTGCCATGTAGATTTACAGAGGAGGAACCTGAGGTGTGACGAGGTTGGCTTGCCTGAGGTCACAGGGCCAGTACCCAAAGAAGGAGGGTTTCCATGTGGCTCTAACTGATCCCAAAGCATCTGCATTCCCTGTATCAATTGGCATTACTGAAGTATAGTACCGCTTGGCCTACGTTCTGGAACTTTCTCTAAATCTCCCTCAGGATAAGCACTTCCTCCAACATGCCCTCACGCTCGTCACCGACCCCACCCCACTGCTGCACAGTAAGAATTCAACATCGAGGAAGGCGTGCTTGCTAATGAAACAACATGCTGGGCTATGCACAGGGAGAGGCTTGCTGAACCCTGTCGTTGTCCGCACCTCTGGGGCTTCCAGAGCGCGAGGTCTGACTTCCGACCTGAGGAGGCGAGGCTATTTGAGCGGCCATCCTCTGCCGTCAGCACCGTGCCCCTCACACTGCGGACAAGTCCCCCCTAATCTCTGGGACACGAGTGACATCACGGTTCGCTGTCCGAGCTGCTCAACTCACCCTCCCGGGGCACACGCTCTCCCTTCCCAGGCACTCATCCCAAGACAATGATGCACAGGGACAGGGCGTAACATTTTAAAGCACAAACGTTTTTTGAAAAAAATTTAAAAAGGTCACCAATTAGTCAAAACGTGGAGTTCAAACTGCTATCGTTTCAGTCAACCGAGCGTGGACTATTTGCTATTACTAACTTTATCATCCCGGGGGGATTCTTTTGTCATAGTTGCTCTTGATGACATACGACAGAAAAGACCCGTTTTCACAGCCGAGTGGGATAAGCCCGGCATGTGCTTTTTTAGAAGTCTGGAAGCAGATGCTCTCACGTGTGTCAAAGTCAGTGACAGTAACGGACAGCTAGCACCCCAACGCTCGGGTGAATAAACTACACCTTTGGGAACAGTGTTAGCCCTTACCAGCATGCAAGTAGGCCAGGTCAGGGTTCTCGATGTCGGGATGCTGCTCCTTCAGGTGGTTGCGGAACTCCACAGGCACGTTGGTTCCGTAGTCACACTTGGGGCAGTTGTACATCTTGACTCCTTCATGTTTGCCCGTGTGTAAAATGTGCTTGCGGATGTTTTCAGCACAGTTTGACCTACCGGGTAAGAAAGAGAAGTCAATCAAACAGGCCGAGTCGGCGCCGTGAGACCACAGACGACGCTAGCAGCCACAGCGATGGAGGCCTTCCTGTGCGTCAGCCCCAGTCGAGGGCCGTGCGAGTACAGTGATTCCCACTTGGGTAACACAGCAGTCCCACGACGCTGGTAGTTTCTGCGAACCCTGGTGCTAATTTTTAGGTTGATCTTTTACCTCAGTGATCCAATTCTATGTGGAACCCGAAGCTCAAAATCCCAGGGTCGACGATTTTACTATCAGATTATCCTGGTGCCACTTGAGGGCACCGAAGGAGTCTCCTTAACCCTAAGAACACACCTGTCACCAGGGAGGAGTGGTGCGGAGGGAAGCACTGTGGCCTCACCGAGTTTAGAACACTGAGGCGACAGAGCAGCTCTGGCTGTTACGTTCTGTCCAGTGAGCTCTAGAACAGTCTGGAGATAGAAAAGCAGCAGTGTGCTGAGTGCCGGTGAGCTTTGCACGTTGGCGCAGGTTTCTAAGCATGAGGGACTGAAAGACAGAATGGAGGCCCCGTATTCTGTATGCCAAACAGCCCTGAAAACAGGCGTAGGCTCCTCTCCGCACTGTTCTCCTACCAACTCGGAAAGGCAAGGCCTGAAATGCCCGGATAAGAGGGAATAGGGCTCTGCTCTTGAAGCAAGTTCTTCCATCGGCTCCTTCAGCCCTCTGTGAGTCTCTGCATCAGACACTGCACACCCAGACCCTTTCTGAGCCCATACACAGCTGCTTTCTTTTGTCTTTGTTAGAACAGTACTAAAGAGGGCACCGCAAATGCAAGCAGGTTGGCCGGGGAGAGGGGATGCACTGAACTAGAAACAAAAAATCAGGCTGGCCTCAAATTTCCCACAGAGCACAATTAAATGCCAAAAGAAAAACCAAGCAATAGGATCATCGCATTTCTGGAGGGTACTGCCGAAGAACAAAGTTTCTGCAGGATGTTGTTTGAAGTGAAGGTTCTGTGACCAATAAAGTAAGAAAATGGTAGTTAGCAAACGCATCTCACAATGCACACCAGACGATGAAAGGTCCTACCCGGAAGCTTCCCGAGGCTCTGCGCTGCCCCAACACTTCTAAGTAGGATTGCATTTGTGTGTAGTATTCAACTGCGATGCTGACTTTGCAGGATGCGCTCCAAGAACATTGGTGATGAACGCAGAAACGGTTATAACGCAACAATTTTATAGTAGCTACACTATCACACAAAGGAAAGGCAACAAAGGACATTAGAAATCTAGAGACCCAGTGAACACGTCATCTCTTCACTCATGAAGAGAGAACGGAGGAGTATCAGGAAAGCACGGCGGAGCTCACAACAGCGGCTCTAGGAACAGCACTCCGCAGATGCAGAGCTGTGGACAGGGTGACCTTTCCTACAGGCATCCAGATGAAGCGGAAATGCAAATATTTTTCCTTGTGAATGGGCATCCTGCATTGTGGGAATAGTCCTGTAACTGGATCCAAGATATTCCCCTGGAAAAGCTTAGGCTAAGTCCCTTCTATCCTCAGGCAGTCTGTCCTGAGATGCACGTGCCCAACTATACAGAGTTAGGAAGATTAAATCAGACCAGTCCCCCTGTTGCTATACCAGAAAGAAACACAGCAAAATGTTAACGCAACTATATAGCAATGCCCACTTCTATTTTCCAAATATACTTTAATTATGTATTATTTCCATTAAAAAATTTATAACAACAACAAACACTTTTAAAAATAAGAAGAACCACCAGAACAGAAATTTTTTCAGCCATTTTAAGCTTTGCCTTTGGCTAGGGTTCTGTCAAACTTTATGTCCAGTATCTCTTAGAACTTAGACTAAATATACCTTACGTTTGTGAAAATATGCATATACGGCTTATTTCTTTCATGTCACTACTGAATTACCAAACTTGCTTTTCCTAAAATCCCTACTGTTAATAATCACCGTCCTAAGTAAAAAATGAATAAGCATCTCATGTGTCCTCTGTGCTTGTCACTGGCTGGCTATTTCAAGGATATCACACTACTCCTAGAGGCAGAGACAGTGAGAGATTTTGCAGAGAAGGAAGGGAGCATCAGGAGATGAGCTGACTATCAAAGGTTAAGACCTCCATCCTTACATGTAAGTATATCAAAGATACTAGGCACATTCTAGGAAAAGGGTGAGGCTGGAGAGTCTCTTAATTATATCAATATCCTTGGAATAATAACATCATGTTAACAAAAGTAACAGGAAAACATCTGAGGCTGGATGAAACAAATGTCCACTTTTGTGATAATTAAAAGGAAGAGGGCCATTTTTTGAATTCCCCAACTAGCTGAGTGAACTGTTCCAAATCACTCTCTTAATTCTGCAGATCTCCCATTTGTTTTCCATGACACCCCCTCAACTCACTAGTGTTTACTGACACCAGGGAGTGAAAACAAACCGCTCCCGCCGTACTTAGTTGGTGCTGTTACTAGGACTGCCCACCCTTTGGTTCCACCTATGTTTTTTCTTTGTGGAAAAAGCCAGACATTAAGAATCATCAAAGACAATCCTGATGAAGCGAGGAAATCAGAATTGCCAAAAGCCACCAACTTCGATCTGTAACGCATACTTAAATACAAGACAATATAAAGCAATGAATCCTCCTCTTCGGTGAAGGTCTTGAAGAGATGACATCGAAAACAGAGTATTTTGTGTTTGGAAAGGGTGTACCTTGGACAAAAATAAACCAGCATCTCTTAGTACCTAAATAGCATGTGGAAGCTAACAATCAGGAGACTAATGGTGAAGCAAGTGAAAGGGGTGGGGGAGGGAAAATTTAAAAAGGTGAGAGGCTTCTTTCTATTTAAAAATATAGACTAAAACAAGAAAGATGTGGTGTGTTAGTTGATATTTTATAAGGTATTAAGGACCATTTCATACATATATGTTTTACATATACACACATATATATTTTTATTTATACTATATATACTGCTCATATATTTTATGTATAATACATGTATACATATTTTTATAATTTTGTTTTATACATGAACGGATAAGATTAAATTAAATACATGCTAATTAAATACATGCTAACAAAAACATAAAATAGGCAATGTCTGTCTTCAACAGAAAAGATACATTTTTGTATTTCATGGATGACAGTGTATTTGCATGCAATCAAAATCTCTTCCTCTGCATTTAATGTCACGCCATACAAAACTTTTTAAAATACTGGGACAAAACTGAGCCTTTCACACCTGCAAAATCAAACTATTCCAATCAAAGCCTAAGAAGTAAAAGCTAGCACATACTGTACCACTATCCTCAAAGCAGAACACCTGCAGAGGTAGGGGCAAACTTTAGTCCCTGCATTCGAGAACATCTCATAACGTGTCGCAAAATTTGAGGAACAATAAATAGATCAGACACCTTCTGGTAAGTAATTCTGAATGGTATTCAGCCCCAAAATGCTCATTCTTCCCACAAACAGAACTTACGAGTAGTAATAAGCACGGTACACTGAAGTGGTGCTAATCAAGGCTGGTGGTGCAGGAGAAGGAAGGATACTCCAAGATATGATTTCCAACAGGGTCATGGACAAGTCACCAGGCGTAACAGCAGTTAAGCCAACTGGGCACATAATCATTAGGACTGGGTGACTGAACAATGTCTTCATTTTGACACTGATTTTTAATGTAAAGAGCTTATTTGTGTCCCATGTTCATAGACTGGAAGACTTGATATTAAGACGGTGATACTCCCTAAACTGATGTACAGATTTAATGCACTCCCTGTCATAGGCTCAGTGGGATGTTTTACAGAAATTGAAATGCTGATCCTAAAGTTCATACAGAAATGCACAGGGCCTAGAAGAGCCAATACAGTCTCAGGAAAGAACTACGTTGGAGGACTCACACATTCCGAGTTCAGAAGTTACTCCAAAGCCACAGTAATCAAGACACTGTGGCAAAAGAAAAAGGATAGATATTCGGGACTCAGCACGGGAAGCCGGAGCAAAGTGGCTCCACTGAAGTTAGAGGCTTGACCACTGGCTGCAGGTTCCCTATGACGATTGGGGATGCATGCAGGACTTTCTGGGACCACAACCTGCATGCACAGTGCAAACAGGAAAGTTATGAGGAAACTCAGAATTAGATTTTGGGATATGATGTGTTGACAGCCTTGAGATAGCTTATGATATATACATGAGAGAGTAATGTACAATGTATTACATAATATACATGCTGGGCAATAGCCAAAGGACCAAAATGGGAACTAATTTTAAGGCTTCTTAAAATATATGTAATAAAGGAAATACTTTATTCAGTTCAAAGGCAATGTATTTCAAAATAATAACCAGAATATCAAAGGGCTTCTAGAGCTCCACAAAATTGTTTATTATTACTACTTACTAACTCACTATTACACAAAAAGCATTAAGTTAAATTTGTATTATATTTAATCTAAGGAAAAGGTAGCTTAAAAAAAATTCTGAATTTTTTTCCCTCTTTTGATATATGTTATTTTGGTTATTAAAACAAAAAGCACTGGTGAAGCTGTTGAACAAAAAACTGCATATTTCAAACAAAAAGTCTAACAATGGACAGATACAGTGAAAGTCTGCCTTCTACCACCGTCCCACTCTGTCCAGATAACCCCCACTCCCCCCAGCAGGTACAACTTACAACTTATCAATCTTCTGGAGAATTAAAAATGACTTTTTCAAACCACAAATACATTGTACATTCTTATCTCCACCCTCCAGGTATATAAGCTTGCTTTCCTTACCTAACAATGCAACCAGGGGGAATCTTTCCACATCAGCATGAGAGCCTCTTGTCGCTGCTTTCTACCCTCCCTTCCTTCCCTCCCCCTCTCCTCTGCCTTCTTTTTCTCCCTTTTTAACAGCCACTCAGTACTCCACAGTACAGGTACAGCATATTACATTTAAGCAATCCTCTACTGATTGGGCATTTATGTTGTTTCCAATCACTTGCTAGTGTAAA